GACACAGGACCCGCCAGGTGGTAGGGTCTTTCCTCGCCAATCAGGACGCAGGACCCGCCAGGTAGGGTCTTTCTTCGCCAATCAGGTGGCCGGATCCTTGAAGCACTGTCTTTCCCTGCCAGGCAGGAGGTACCGCCGAGGCCCGCCCCCACCTGCCATGTTTCCCTGGCAGGACACGCAGGCGTCCTTCCACGCAGAATCTGTCCTCACGTTCCTCTCTTCCTCGGGCCCTTCACTCAGAGTCCCACCACGGCTGGGGGCAGCTGCTGTCCAAGGCTCCGAGGGACGACCGAGCCACCAAGGCCAGCCGCAGCGTTTGAAATAAGACGGCAGGGGCACACCCTCGTCTGCCTGCGCCTGTCCCGCCCGGAAACCAGCAGAGTGGGAAAGCCCCAGAGGACAGCCTGCAGGTTCCTAGGACCCGGTGGCTTCCTGACATCTCAGCCTGAGACAGGAGCGGCCACAGGTGGCTCTTGCGTCATTCTGCGTGCAACAGAGGAGAGGGAGGGGAGGCAAATGGCAAGATGATCAAGGATCTGCTCCCTCCTGCTTCCCCAGGGGACGTGCCTTTCCTGCTGTGATGGCGCAGGACCACTGCCCCTCCACGCCCAGCCGAGACTCCCTCAACCACGGACACGGGGCTGCCCACCTGAGTGGCCCCTGCTAATTAAAATTCCCTCGCCAAATCCCCAAGAAAGCTATGTGCAACCCGTTGTTTACAAGTCCTTGGCTTTGATTTCTTCTGTAAAGGGAAGACAAGAGGTGAAGAAGGGGCTGGATACCTTCCAAGTACGGTCTCTGGAAACCCAAAGCCCTCTCTCTCTCCCGGGTCATGCTCCTGCTCATGCCTTCCTGCCACCAGAGGCGTTTCTGGGTCCCTTGGCTCAGGCCACCTTGAGGTCGGTTGGTCGGTTCCTGCTCCAAGGCTCCTGGGGGAGTCTCACCTTGATTCTCTGGTTTGGGATGTGGAAATAGCCGGGCTACCTTTAGGAGTAAACTTCTCTTGACAACCACCAGAGGCAGCCTTAAGTCCACAGATCTGGGAGGACAGCTCTGTTTGTGTCTGGGGAACCACCGGATTCATCCCTGTTCCTGTGGAACCGAAGGGATTCCTCCTGGAGGAGACAGGCTGGGAACCTGTTTCGTTTCGGAGAAAAGTATTCTCCACCAGCAGGGCCGGCTTCATGGGCCCGATGCTCGGAAGGGCACGCACTTGGTGGAAGCTCTGCTTGCTGCCGTTTAAAAATTCTTAGCAATTCCTGAGCAAGAAGGCCGGTGTTTTGATTTTGCGCTGAGGCCCACGAGTCCTGTAGGCGGTGGTACCCACGAGTGCCCGACATCTGGCAGATTTCCTGATAAGAAGATACCCTGGCTTCATCCAAAGGCTAGGCAGTGGCCACCGACCGGTTTCTGGACTGCAGCTCCTCATCTGAGCCTGAGCCTGACAAGGCTTGGGTCTTGCCCGTGTCAGGGTCTACACGGGTCTGTGTCAGGACCCTGATCATGCTGGATGGTGGCCCCAAGAGCCCTCGGAGAGAAATCTCTTCTTGGGAAGCCATGCTTACGGCAAGCCCTGCCTCTAGGCCTCAAGTTTTAGAACCGGACAGCCCCGGTCCCTGGAATTCCCAAAAGCAAATGTGGGGTGGGGGGGGCCCCAGGTCTCCCCCCAACAACAGCATTGAGTTCCCTGGCATTTCAACAGCTCCTCTGAGTCACCTGACTATTGCTTCATTTTTGTGAGGTGGGGGTGGGGGGGGACACAACAGCAGAAAAGTGAAAACATTCGTGCTCGCTCCAGCAAACGAAAAGCGTCTCCGGTCTCCCTTTAATTTTTTTTTTTTTTTTTTTTTGTCCTCAGAAGGAAAGCTATTTGCAGGTGGATTAAATGTTCCTTCTGAGACCCTGCCCCCGGAGCCGCCGACCTCACTGGGACCGTGACCGTGCGTGTCTTTGTGAGTGCCGGGGGTGGGGGGCGCGCACACATCCAGAGAAATACGTCTGCGTGGTCTGGGTAAGAGAGGGCCCTTTGTGCCGCCGGTAAGCCCGGTGAACATGACCCCCGCCCTGTGGTATGCAGCACACCTGTGCAGGCAGAGAGGCAGCCGGCCGGGGGCGGGGGCCCCGCACCCTCCCAGGGATCACACCTTCTCCTTTCTTCTCCTTAAGGCCATGGCTCCACCGCCCCTTTGTTTCGGCTTACGTCCCCACATACCGGGGCGGCCGTGCGTGCGCCGCGGTGCCGGTCAAGGCCGGGGTGCATGGGCACGCAAGGCAAAGCAGGAGGACAGAGGAAGACAGCAGGAGGACCGGGTTCCCGAGGCCCCGCCCCTGCCTACCTTTGCAGGCCTTGCGGTGGGTGACGGGCTTGCCCATGTCGCGGTAGTAGCCCTCCTTGCAGTAATGGCAGTGGCGGCCCGCCGTGTTGTGGCGGCAGTTGAGACAGACGCCCCCGCTCTTGCGCCCCGACAGCTTGTACAGCTCCATGTTGAAGCGGCAGCGCCGGGCATGCAGGTTGCAGTTACAGGCTGCGGGAGGCAGGGAGAGACGTCAGGCCGCGGCAAGGGAGGGACTGTCCCCAGCTTCCCCCCATGTCCACTGCTGGACCCCAGCAGAGACTGTCCCCAGCCTCCCCCAGCACCACAGCTGGACCGCAGTCCTTCCCCGGGAGCTTCTCCTTGGCTCCCCTGTTTGCACTCAGAAGCACCTACTAGCCACCCAGCAGCCAAGGGCTCTGCTTCCCTCTCATACAGAGACTGTTCATTTCCGTCCACCAAGCTGCCGGCCCCCACCCCCCATCACACACACACACCTTAAAGTTGGGAGGTGGCGCTGGCATCCTCCTTGTGCCCCAATCCTGCTTGCGAGGGACCCAGTGGTGTTCCTCCCCCTGTTCATATGCAGAGGCCCTAACCCAGCAGCTGTGAACAGGCCTGTGTTTGGGGACATGGCCTTTACAGAGCTGATTACATCAAAATGAGGCTCTGAGGGTGGGCCCTCCTCCAATCTCACTGGAGTCCTTATAAGAAGAGGCAGTTTGCACACACACACAGAGGAGAGGTGGTCTGCAAGCCAAGCAGAGAGGCCCCGGGAGAAGCCAACCCTGCCGACACCTTGACCTTGGACTTCCAGCTCCAGAACCGTGAGAAAGACACGTGTGTTGGTTAAGCCCCCAGCTTGAGGTTTTCGGTGACAGCGGCCTGAGCAGACTCCTGCATTGTTTCCAGGGCTTTCTACTTTGCGCCAGCACACTGCCCCCTCCCTTGAGCTCGGCCACCAGGCTGTCTTCTCCTGCGGCCACTCCACAAGCCACCGAGGGCTCAGGGGCCAGCTGCACCAGCTTCCATCACCTTCCCCTCGGGCATCCTCCTCATCTGGTTTCCCTCCTGCCCAGCCCTGCTTCCCTTCCCACGGCCACGGCCACCAGAGCAGGAGTTCTGGGCTCCAATCTGAGGATGTCCCCATCACCAGCTGCAAGTCTTTCAATGGCCCTCCCGTTTTTTCCTCTGGGTAAAATCCAAGTCGGTTGTCACACCCTCGGGGCTCCAAATAAGCTGGTCCTGCTTCTCTCCACACCCTCTCCTTAGCTCTGCTCACCGCCTCCCACTCCTTGCTCTGATGCTGGAGCGGTCCCCAGCTTTTTTCAGCTTCTAGAACATTCCATGCATACGTGAGGACCCCTCACCTGCCCCCTCCATGGCTTGTCAGACAGTCTCCTCCCCAGACCCCTCCTCATCTGCTTGCACCCTTACCCTCCACGTCTTGGTGGAGGATATCTGTGCCCGACCCATCTTCCTTCCACCCCCCACCCCCACCCAGGGCATCCCGCGCGGCCCCCTCAGACCACCCCGTGTTGCCCGTGACTTGCTTCTGTGGGCTCCGACCTCTAGGATAACTCCAGCTTCCATCTGGTCTACTCCTGCTCCCTCTTCAACACGCTTCGCCTGCTTTTGTGCTAAGTTTGTTTCAAATCGCATTTTATGTAATGTCTAAAGAAATGCTTAGTGCCAGACACTTGATAAACAAAAGCAGAAAAGAGAGGAAAAAAACGCACTCAGATTTGCAGCAACCACTGTTAACACAGGAGTCGTCCCTTGCAGACTTTAATTAACGTTTGCTCAGCTGTGGAGCTCCGTCATTCTTTCCTACGGACGTGGATCATACTCGTGCATCTCCCTCCGTGGCCTATTTTCCCAGGATGATGAACATCTTTTAATGCCAGATACTGTTCTGCATGATTGTGAAAGGCTGTCTAGTCTCCCTTGTACACGTGTGTGCACTGGGCTCTTTGGAATCCCCAGTGGGTGCATTTCAAAGCCGGGCCTCCCCGGGGGGCTGGGCAGTTAAGTTGTTTCCGGTTTGTCACTATTACAATCAACACCAAGGGTAACCACCTTTGGACCTGTGCATTTGTGCTCTGCTCTGATGGCATGCCTAGGGTAACTTCTGGATCCGCATATGTTTAACTCAGGATCCAAACTGCCGAATTGCCCTGGAGAAAGGCGGTCCTCGCTTCCAGTCCCTCCCAGCAGAATCTGAGAGCTACTGTCTCACCACATCCTCGAAGAAAACAACAGGACCCATTTGCTCTCAGTACTCTTTATTTTTCATCTCTGCCAATTCCTCTGGAAAACACACACACACATGATTTTAATTTGTGTGTCTTTGGTTACCATGAGGTTGGACATTTCCCCATGTGTTTATTTTTCTTTATATATTTTTTTCTTTTGTGCATTGCCTGTTCATGCCATTTGCCCACTTTTCAAATAAGGTGGGGTTTTTTTTTCTTACAACGTCTAATGCTCTTATAATTGATGGATTAAAAACTATGTGTCTTTTCTACCACACAGGCTGCACAAATTTGTACCAGCTTCATATTCATTTATTACTTTTGTGATTAAAAATTATACATTTGCCTCTTTAACTTTTCTCTCTGACGTTACAAGTTTCTTTAGATGTTCTTGCTAGAGGCACGTCCATTAGTCATTCAGCTGAGAAGTAGAGAAGGATGGGGCTTAAGGGCAGGCACTGCGGGGGCCACAGGAGGAAAGGTTCAGTTCACACCTGAGTCTGGAAACAACTGGAAGGTAAATTAGGCCACAGAATGATTCCTGAGAGCCTCACCAAGGGTCTCTGTGCACCTCCAGCCTCTGGCTCAGCCTCGCCTGTCCACTAACACAAGGGACTGTCACACAAACATACACACGTCCACTGTCCCTTTGGACTCACTCAGCCAAACAAGGATGCTGCGGGCCGCTCAGTGTTAAGTGACCCACCAGCCCAGGACCCCCAAGGCAGTAAATGGGAGCCCAAGACTAGAACCCAGGTCTTCTGGCTCCTGGCCCACTACCCTAGAGGAAAGGACCCACATCCCTGGAAGGAACAGTGGTGACTACAGCACAGAATCTGGACCTTTCCTACTGGCATAGAAGTCACAGGGCCTGGCACACCTGCCTAGGGACAGGGATCTGGGAAGATCACTCAAGTCTGGCTTCCTTAAGGCTCTCTTGTACCAGGAAAAGCCTCACTAGTAGCATCTCTGGTCTTTCTTGGAGGCAGATGCTCACCCTGTGTCCTCCACTGTAAAGACAGTGCCAGGTGTCCCCGAAGCTCCCAATGGGGCTGCCTGACCTCTGAGCCCCTCCAGGGAGCTCAGCGCCCCCCTTCCCCACCCCAAGGGGAACCCCTGGGTGATATCCCTCTTCCATATGCACCTTACACCAACAAAAGTTCTTCCCAAACAACCGGTCACACAAAGGAAAGCTCAGAGGCCAAACTTCAAAAGGCAGGGCTCCCCTCCCTCCCACCTCCTCTTGGAGCTGTCAGGGGACATCAAGTGGCAATTGCCCATGCTCAGGCTTCTGCAAAGTATTTTACGGCTTGTTTTCTTTTCTCTGTGTTTTATTTTCTCTGCACAAATGGAAAAATGCATCAGACAAAGCAGCCCCCATCTGGGTCCCTCGGCTCCACACAGAGATGTCACCCCACTCCCAGCTGGGCCCCAGCCCCTTCCTCAAAAAGACACCTTAATCCCTCATGCCTTCTTGTTTATCTCCTGCCTCTCTTGGAGGCAAAAATATTGGGTATTAGTTTCATTATCAGATTTCAAGGAGGGAAGGAAAGGATGGCTTTGTGAGAACAGAGAGGTCAGCCTGGGGGAGAAGGGGGCAGGAGGCAGCACAACTTCTGAGGAACCTCCATGAGCCAGGGCCAGGAGCCCTGCAGGCTCTGCATCATGTCCAGGGGTCCCCCAGCCACCCAGAGAGAGCTGGTTTGGTCTGGACCCCAAGCTCCATGCCCTCCTTCCCCCACCGCCCCAGCTGGTTCAATTCAACACACACCTGAGTGCTCCTGCTACATGCCAGGCCCTATGCCACAGGCCATGAGGGAGACAGGGATGGACGATGCATCCTCAACTGTCCAGGGGCTCCCTGTCTGACAGAAGGAGGGGGCAGATGAGGGCTCTCGGCAGCAAGCTTTCAGATAAAGTAGGATAAATGCTCTCCGGAGTTGTGCCGGTTCCTTGACTACAGGACAGTGTTTGCCCTTACATCCTCCAACCCAAAGCACATCTCAATACATTTTCATTGTACAAATAAGAAAGAGCAAAAGTAGGAAAGTCAGAAAGTAGATGATGGATGGCTGAGTGGGTGGGTGAATGGATGAATAGGTAGATGGATGGATGGATGGAGGGATGGATGGATGGATGGATGGATGGATGGATGGATGGATGGATGGGTGGCTGGGTGGATGGGTGGCTGGCTGGCTGGCTGAGTGGGTATGTGAGTGGATGGATGGATGGACAGATGGATGGATATATGGATAGATGGATGGATGGATGCATGGATGCATCATGGATGCATGGATGCATGGATGGACGGATTGATGCACGCATGCATGGGTGGATAGGTATGTAGGTGGCTGGGTGAATGAGTAGAAAGAGAGGACAGATGGAGAATTATGTGGTTTGTCTGGACCACACTGCGACGAGATACAGCTTTGTGACATTTGTGACATTTCTTTTATTGTTGCTTTGAGCTACTTAAAACTTGTCTTGCTGCTTTAACTCACCAATGTATCTGCTCAAGTCAACTACAGTGCTTTAAGGAGAAAAACCCACATTTAGGATGCCCTGGATTCCTCCCAGGACCCCAAGGAGGACCTGGTACACAATAGGGACTGAATCTGCATCCATTGGTTTGATCAGTTTACCAAAAACAGGCGTTAGCCCTCTCCTGAGAGACCCTTATAAACTAACTCCCAACGCCCATGCGCCGCCCCCCCACCACACACACACCTCCCTGGGATATCCCAGGCTGAAAGGATCCTGCAGACATTATTAAGCTGTGTCCTGGTCCTGTCTCTCAGGGACTCTGGCCCTAGGTCCCTTTTATTTCACATGGCTCAGGTGTTCTTTCAATAGAATAGCAAGGCCATCCGACAATGGGCCTCCTCAGAGCTCTGGGCTGGGGCCAGAGGACCTCCTATGCTCTCCCAGCACAGGGGATCGCTCTCAATTTTTTCCTCC